AAAATTTTCTTTTGGCTGCCAGCCAGCTGTTTGACTTTTTTTAAATTATAAATGCTTTTGGTTGATTCTCTTGGGTTTCACTTGAAGCAGACAATTTACCTACAGTAACATAGTATGAGGAAGTGCTCCAAAGGAAAAATTTAGTGTATTAGTGGAACACAAAACCTCATTTTGCTTGCCACCTCGGAGAAGGCCTTTTTGAGGAAGCATCATTTAAAAAAATTTGAAGACTGCAGTAGGACTAGCCAGAGAGAGTGGGATGAAGAGCTTCCAAACGGAGGGGAGCAGCACGTGTGACTGTCTGGAGGCACAGGGTGTGCAAGGAATGGGGGCAGAGTGAGCAAAGGTGAGTGGCTGCAGAGGTGAACAAGGCACTTGAGGCTCTGTTAAAGAGCGCAGATCAAATTGTGAGTCTAGTGGAGTAAGCAGCTGGAGAGGTTTTTGAGCAGAGGTGAGGCACTTTCCAGTTTACATTTTTAAAAAATTATTTCAGCTGCTTTGTGGGCAGTGGATTTAAGACAAACCTGAGCAAGAGAGGAGGCCGGTTAGGAGGCAGTTACAATAGTTTAGCATCAGACTTGCTTGGACTAGATTTTTATTAATGTCATTCTTCTCTCCTCAGCCCTTCAGTCTCTATAGAGTAAAATGCAGATTTTATTGGATTGAAAAATAAGTTCTATGTTGGGAAACATGGGATTTTTAATTTCAGATTGGCCGCTAGTCGGCTACATTTTATTGCATGTTTTGCAACTTCATAAAAAGCAAATGTTGACGTATTTGTCAGGTTTCATACGTTATTCGAGATGAAGTAGAGAAGTACAATCGAAATGGAGTCAATGCGCTGCAGCTGGACCCAGCACTCAATAGACTTTTCACGGCAGGTCGCGACTCCATCATAAGGATATGGAGCGTCAACCAGCACAAGGTAAGGCAGGGATCGGGTTTACGTTTGAAATCTGTGCTCCGTAAATTTTGGTCTGTCTAGCGTGGCGCCTTTCACAGTTTCAGATGTGGTTTCTTTGAGCACTGAGTTACTTGGTACACTGTATAAACACATTACAACCAAAATTCTATGAGCCTTTGAGAAAAACAGCCCTAGGAGAGTTTTAGAAGTATTTTAGCTAAGGCAGGGACTCCATAAACTGGGTCTGTGATAAGAGCACTTTGCTACAAAGAAACAAAAGATTTGTCTGGCAGGAGAATTGCTTGCAATAATTAATTTTTCTGCTTTAAATGTTCCCCAAAAGCTCCTTGGCAGTCCTGTTACAGTTATAGTTCATCCTAAACAGATATTTGATTTCTTCATTTAAAAATGATTAGGGTGCCCATAGAATCCATAGAGCCTTATTTGACAATATAAGTTGTATAAAAATCTGAAGATGGTATGCTCCCCTTCAGGTGATTTAAAGGCTGTTTTATTAAATAGAAACCAGGATTTAAATATTTGTACAGATAAATCCCCACTCAAATGGCAAGGAACTCTTATATTTTGTTTGAATGCCTGTATTGTGAATGACATAGAAAGGAAGATTCAGGGAAGGAAAGGGGCCATTTATTGAGCTCCTCGCTATGTACCAGACACTCTTAGCATTTCCATATCCAATATGGTCTTAACACTCATTGTAATCCTTCAAGACAGCAGTTATGATTCATTTTCATAGAAGGGGAAGCAAGCTCAGAGAAATCCACGCTGAAATAGCTAGTCATTGACAGAGAATTAGAGTCCATCTAACTTTAGAACCCTCATGCTAAACCTTGTAGTTTTAAAAATCTCTCTTTTTAGCAAGCTCTGCAAATCTAATGTTCAGTCCAAAAAAGAAACACTGTTTTTCACAGTTGCTGGTTATTGTTTCTTTAAGTGGACTTGGGTCTTGTGGGCTTTGGAGTCTTTAATCATGGAAACTGGTGGCCCACTGTCAAACATGGGAAGCAAGAAAACCATGGCTTTTAAGTGCGTTTTGGAATCATATTTGAATTAGAATGTCACCTTTCTGGGAATTAACAGTATATCAAACAAATTAAGAAAAACATTCATAAGAGTTAACCTCGAAGAATCTAGAGAGGAGCCTGTTTGTCCTCAAACATCTTTTTTGGTCTTCATTTTATGACAGGTTGCAATAGCATTTCTCAAATAGAGTTGTAGAGAGCTGTTCTCTTTGCCCATGCAGTATCTTGAAAAGTGTGGGATGTAAATAAATACTGGTCTTTAAAAGATCTCTCCTGATAATTAAGCCAAGTAAGAAGAATAGAATCTCAAATTATCTAATTGAAATGGTGACTCAGGTACTATTCCTTTAGCCCTTGGCTTTCATTTCTTCTCTGAGGGACTGTAGATATCATGAGGAAAACATTTCATTCAGAAGGTGAAAACTGCAGTAGGAAGCTAAAAGCAAGTGTTCATTTCCCCCTGCAGTCCCCCTAGGCTCCTTACCACTCCGATCGGCCTCAATTCTGCCCCTACTATCCACTGTGAGCCTTCACCACGACTGATTCCAATTCCCCCCAGCCTGTCGATTTGCTCACGTCCTGTCCTTTCTAGTAAACCCCTTCCTGGAGCTCTTTGTGTCACACACAGTGCCTCGCCCAGATCTTGTTGCCTTCACTAACTCAAGACGTAAAAATTAAACATTTGTCCTGGAAACCTAGGCTTTCATCAGTAATAAAACTGTCCTAAAACACAACTTCTATTTCTGTCTGTTTTCTGGAAGCATCAACTGTTCGATGAAATTCTACTCCGAATTCAGTTGTCAATTTTAAGGCCTTAGAGCAGTGTGTCACACTAATTGAAGACTCTAAACATATCTATAATTTGTAATGTATTTCATCCTCTAATATAAACTTATGACATCTTTATGATTTTTCCTTTAATTTCAGCAAGATCCTTATATAGCATCTATGGAACACCATACCGACTGGGTAAATGACATTGTACTCTGTTGTAATGGGAAAACATGTAAGTATTTCTTTGGATTATTGGGTTTTAGGAAGCTTTTAATTCAGTTTGATACAATTTCATTTTTTATGTAAACTTTTTTATTGAAGTATAATATATATACATACAAAAAAGCATGTACACCTTGAGACAACACCCATATCAAGAAACATTACCAGAAGCCCCCTGTGCCACCATTTCAGTCACTACCCCTTGTCCCAGGTAACTGTTCTTCTGTCTTCTAAATACTATTGATTAGTTTTGCCCGCATTTGAACTATATGTAAATAGACTCATAATATGCATTCTTCTTTTAGGCTTATTAATATCTTTTTCTTATTATGTTAAGATCTATTTCTTAGTTTTTCAGTCTGTTTTAGAGAATTTTTTCTTAGTCATTAGTTGAGCAGGAACATTAAAAAGTTTTCCCTGCCTATTAAAAAAAAAAGTATTTGAGACAAAATATAATAGGTT